GGCCTCAGTGTTGATCAAGGGTTTGGGGTTTGGGGTTTAGGGTTTAGGGTTTAGGGTTTAGGGTTTCGGGTTTAGGGTTTAGGGTTTAGGGTTTAGGGGTTTGGGGTTTAGGGTTTAGGGGTTTAGGGTTTAGGGGTTTATATAGGGGTTTAGGGGTTTAGGGTTTTAGGGCTTAGGGTCCGACATTTGCATAAATATCTGTCACAATACTATTATGATCCATAGTATTTATCATTGGTTTTTCCGATCTCACCAGCAACAGACGGTACACGACCGCCTGTTCTCAAAGTTGCCCCGGCCATAGGCCATTGTAGGCTAAATTGGTCTTCGTCTGTTATCTTTGATATTCTGTTGTCAGGTGCAGCAGTGTAGTGATATTGTGTTTTCATTACGCTACCAAACTAAAGTCTTTATTCTTCCTCAAAATCTATTGGGCTTATCTGACACGAAAAGCGCAGCAATTGTGTCGAATCAAGTTTGTAATCATACTCTGCTTTACCATACAAAATTAGATTCACGCAAACCCGTACACCTTAAACCCCCAGCCACCAACCCTGCTCAAATGTCGGTCAACGGGGCTTAGGGTATAGGGTTGAAGCCCGCTTTTCAGTAGTTGAACATGCAGCCCGGCAGCCGCCACCACCCCTCGTACCGGAACCCCAGAACCCGACGCTCTAAACCCCAAACCCTAAACCCGAAACCCTAAACCCTGGCAGCCTTTCGGGTCTTAGGGCTCAGGGTTTTCGGCGGTATGGAAAGGAACCCCACAAACTCGAGAACCCTCTGAAAGCATGAAGCCCAGCCTAGAATCTCAACAGGCTGCTTTAAGGTTCAGGGTTCAGGGTTTGGGGTCTAGGGTCTAGGGTTTGGGATTCGTAGACCTTTCTAAGGGTCATGTATGCAAGATTCAGGGCTCTTGTCGTCGCCAAGGAACGGCGCTGTATACCCCAAACCTGTATACCCCAAAAACCCCAAACCCTAACCCTAAACCCTACACCACAAGGATTGCAGGATGCACAACCATGGGTTCCCTCCTTGCAGGATGGCGTGATCACCTATGCGATGTTTGAGCAGCAGGCCGATCTTCTGAACAAATATAAAGGTTTAGGGTTTGGGGTTTGGGGTTTGGGGTTTAGGGTTTAGGGTTTAGGGTGTGGGGTTTAGGGTTGAGGAAGCTGTATGTGTTGGGGTTCAGGCTTGTATCGTTGTCTCTATGCAGGGTGGGTTCAGATGAGCGAGTACATTTGACTGCTTTGGTTCATACATGTTGTCGGGATGCGTGATTTGGCGTTCGACATATTGTAGCTGACATGATGAATAGCAAGCTCATTATCAACACCTTCCTTGTCTTTCTTCTTGTATGTTCCTTAAGCAGTTCCACTACGTCTATCATGGTCCTCATCTTTCTTTGTGATGTCTGTTTCCGGCCCCATGGCATATACTGTTGCGATGGTACGGTACGAATGTTTCGAGCTTTCACAGACCATGGGTTTGCTGCGAGATTGCCAGCCAGACACTCATGGTTTTGGATGCGCTGAGCTTTGTTTATGTGCAAATGCCGCGAAGGCCACACAAAGCAAGCACTGCATGAAGGGGTGGGAAGGGCGGGGGGGGGGGGAGTAGAATATGAGTATGTGTACATCACTCGTCATATTCCTGTAAGTACCCCCTGATTTAGTAGGTACAACCCCTAGAACTGTAGGGAAATAGGGTCCCAGGTTTGTTTTATGTGTACGTTTGCTTCCCTGCAGGTCCACTCGCCGGAAGTGCGAGAGCCTTGACTGCCATACGGAGGGATGCACTCCGGGCTGACTTCGATTCCAGCTCTCTCTCTCTCTCTCCCGCTTTCTCTCTTTCTGTCTCTCTCTCTCTCTCTTTCTCGTGTTTTTCTGTTTGTTGTTTCTCTCTCTCTCTCTCTTTACCGCTTCACGCGTTCATGTCTGGGCTAAACCCGAAGCCTCAAGCCCCTCAGGAGTACCCCTAAATCTTAAACCCTAAACCCTAAACCCTAAACCCTAAACCCTAAACCCTAACCCCCCCCCCCCCCCGCAGGAGTACTTCGAAACTCTTGGCCTCGACGTCTGGGATGCCTGGAGCTTCTTCAAGATGCTGGACCTGGACGAAGGCTCCTGCTGGGTTTTAGGGGTTTAGGGTTCATAGGGTTTTAGGGGTTTTAGGGTTTTAGAGGGTTTAGGGTTTAGGGTTTAGGGTTTGGGGTGTATAGGGTGTTAGCATTTTTTAGGGTTTAGGGTTTAGGGTTTGGGGTTTGGGGTTTGGGGTTTAGGGTTTAGGGTGCCGCCGCGGGGGATATGACCCGAAGTTGTGGTTGAGGGGTGTTGAGGGTTCTTTAGGGTGTTTAGAGTATGTCGGATATCTAGGGTATTTGGGGTATCTAGGGCATTTGGGCTACATAGTAGGGTGCTTAGGGTATTTGGGGATAGTTTCGGGTATTTAGGGGGTATGTAGGCATTCAGGTAGTTGAGAACATTTTAGGGTATTTAGGGTATTTAGGGTATTGTGGAGCATTTAGGATATTCAGGGCATCTAGGGCTTTTTGGGTGTTTTCGGGTCTTTAGGGCATTTAGGATACTTATGGTAGCTAGGGTTTAGGCTTTATCTGGGTAGGTCATTTGTCGTCATGGCCTTATAAAGAGTAGTGTTGTATGGCTCGGGGCAGGGTTTAGGGTTTCGGGGCCAAGGTTTAGGGTTTCTGGTTCAGGGGAATTTTTGGGAGGGCCATGAATGAAGGAGAATATCAAGTCCCTACACCCCAAAGAGACGCCCAGAACCTTGTTTCATCACAGCATCCGTGGTAAGTCTAAAGCCCATACCAAGATTGGTGCGGCCAACTTGCGCAAGCACCGCAACATTCGGAAAAAGCACCCCACCCACGATGTTGTTGCCATTACCCCGCCCGAAAAGAATGACAAAGGTATGCGTGGTAGCCTTTTCTTTTGCAAAAAGTGTTTTTGTGCCCTGCCAAGAGGAACTGAGTCCAGAAAGCTGCTCACTTGTGCGCAGAAACGCAGGTACATGAAGCAGAACCATAAAGCTGCTGCCAAAAGGAGAACCTGGTGGATGCGCCTCAAGAAAGATGAGCCCCTCTTTGCCCGGAATGTCGCCAGCGGCTTTGAAAACTCTTTCAAAGAGCTTGACGAGCTGTTCAACGTGCATGTCGTTACAGGTTCAGCAGCTAGATGGCAGAAGCAGAAGCAAGCTGCTGCTGCAGCCAGCATGGAGTGACCGGCCTGGGGAGCGCGGTGTCGGCAATTCTCTCGAACCATGATCCCACGGCTTCCCCTTGCCGCTTTTCGCTTGTGGTTAAGGGGTGGTGTGGTTTTCGGTTGGGTACCGTGCCTGTCGCAACATGGCGACGTGCATCCTAACCCGGGCCCTCCCCATCCCAACAATGGTTCTCCTCAAAGTGCCCGGTTTCGGGGCCAAGGTTTAGGGTTTCTGGTTCAGGGGAATTTTTTGGGAGGGCCGTATCTCTACTTGCAATAAGGCAGCACAGAAATCATTGCTGCATGGCCCTAAACCCTACCGTGTGAGCCCTTAGCCACCCAAAACCCGAAACCCTACGCGGCGATCTGAAAGCCCCCCAAAAGTTCTTTTGGGGGCCCTAAACCTTGAAGCCCTAAAACCCTAAAACCCTAAATTGTAAACCCTAAACCCTAAAGCCCTAAACCTTAAAACCCTAAATAATAATAAACCCTAAACCCTAAAGCCCGAAAACCAGAAGTTATAATAACCCGTAAACCCTAAAGCCCTAACACCCTACAGACCTTCAAACCTAAATTATAATGAACCCTAAAGCCTAAAGCCCTAAAGCCCTAAAAAAAAACCTTAGACGGTTTTGGAGGGCGCTTAGGAGGGTTGCGACGGCGCCCGAGTCTCCGATCCGCCACAGGTGGATGCGTTGAGATTGACGAGTTTTTTATGGGTGACACGGTGGATGTTAGGGTTTAGGGTGTAGGGTTTGGGGTTTGGGGTTTATTTGGAGTTTAGTTTTTTTTTGGGTGGGGATTGGGGGGGGGTACTAAAACTCAAGGCAACACGGAGGTAGGTAACCGTCTGACGGGCAACAGGCACCCCTTCCACGAACTTAGCGGGGCAGAACGGGTGCCACGAACTTACCCGATGACAGACTCACGAACAGGGAAGGTTCGATGAAGTTAGCAGAAGGCCACGAGGCTTCGTGCGAAGGGGCAGGGGCTTAGACGAACTTAGTTTGACTCTCAGAGCCCTAAACCTCTATCATCGCAGTATCCCTTGTGCGGTATGTTTTCTTCTCAGAATTTTGAAGTGTCTTCGAAGGGCTTACTTACATGTTTTGGGGTCTTTCAGGTGCGCCGGGCATCGTTTTCTTGATTTCTTTCTGCCGCAGGCATGTCGGGAATATGAGGCCTTTTGGGTTTTGTTTTGCCAAGAACTGAAGCTCTTCAATCCTGTAATCCTAGAGTAAACCCGCAGCCCGAAAGCGTGTTTTTTGATTTAGTAGCTAAGTGAGCACATTCTACACTTTTTGGGATACTAGAATCCCCTATAGAACTGAAAGTGTAAGCTTCTTTGGGGCTTTTGAACACCCTAAACCCTAAACCCTAGGCCCTAAACGCGTAAGAAGGAGGGAGGTGGACACCTTCGAGCCCTAAACCCTGACACGCTTCCAGCAGCCTCCGAAAGCCTCTGGAAGCCTCGCAGGAGCCGAAACCAGCCCCCTGAACGGACAAAAATCTTCAAGAGAAGCCCAGCAGTGCAAATGCAAAAGTATAGTTGTGTGTATAGGGTTCTGAAGGGAGGGGGGTTCAAGGGGGGGTTTAGGGTTCAGGGTTCAGGGTTCAGGGTTTAGGGTTTAAGGTTTAGGATTTAGGGTTCCCCAATACCCCCCACTACTCGCTAAGACTGCTGTCTAGGTACCTACCCCCCATGAACCGTGAACCCCCCTCCCTTACTACTTAAGAATAGTCTAAGTGGGACTAAACCCTGAACCCTAAACCGAGGTTGCCTACGGTTGCGAGGCGCAGCTCGAGCGATGGACGTGTGCAAGATTATCCATGCACCTCGGGCGCGTTTTCGGTTTTTTGAATGCCCCCCTTTCCCCCCCACTCCCAGGTACTTGGGGCGGGGGGAGGGGGGGCGGAGGGGAGGAGGGCAGAGAAGGGGTGGGAGGAGGGCGCCTTAACCCCCCCCCCCCCTAAACCCTAAACCCTAAACCCTAAACCCTAAACCCTAAACCTCTCTCGCTAATCAGTGGGGGCTGTAATGCGTTCGAGCCCTGGGGTTCCTCGGGGTTTTGTCCTCCCTTTCAAAGAGCTTCTGATTGAAACTCAAGCCCATCCCTAAAGAGTTTAGGGTGGCGGGGTTTTAAAGGCTTAGGCTTAAGGGTTTCCTAGACCCTAAGCCCAAAACCCCAAACCCTAAACCCCGAACACACACAACATCTGAGGTGTCCCGACTCTGAATCCCCCCTTTCTGCGAATTTCAGGACCAGAACTGGCTTCTGAAGACGCAGAGCCTCTTCCACAGCCACATGGAGGCCAGAAATTGGAGGGTTTAGGGTTTAGGGTTTAGGGTTTAGGGTTTAGGGTTTAGGGTGTAGTGTTTAGGATTTAGGGTTTAGGGTTTAAGGTCTATGTGCAACCCGGAGTGAGCCCTGAGCCCTGAGCCCGAAGTCCTTAGCGGAGAGCTCCACCCTCCCGCCACCAAGCTTCTGGAGGGGCCCTCAGTCAAGCTGATGATTTAGGGTTTAGGGTTTAGGGTTCAGGGTAGGCTTTGTAGAGTCGACTAGGGGCCTAAACCCTGAACCCTAAACCCTAAACCCCAAAACCTTACACCCCACGCTCAAAAAACCTAGTCTCCGACCCCCTGGGAACCTTATACCTGGACCCTTTTCGATGCTAAACCCTGAACCTCTCAGAGCCAAGACCTTCGAAACTTGAAGGTCTTCCTGCAGGCAGGCCCCAGGTAGAGTTTAGGGTTGAGGGCTTAGGGTTTCGGGTTTAGGGCAAGAGCCGAATCAGACTCTGAACTGTGCACCCTCAACCCTGAACCCGAAACTCTAATCCCTAAACCCTACGCCCTAAACCCTAAACGCTCAACCCTGACCTTTATAAACTCTAAACCCGAAACCTGTGGCAAGGAAGAGTTGAAGCAAGTGCAGCAGCAGCTGCTCGCGCTTTCTGGCAAAGTCGGCACCATGAATTCCATGAACTCCATGTCTCTCAGGCCAGGATTTTGGGGTTAACGGGTTAGGGTCTAGGGTCTAGGGTCTAGGGTTTAGGGTTTAGGGTTTAGGGTTTACGGCTAGGCTCCTAGGTCAGGTTCGCCGCGCAGCGTGCCTCCCAAGACAGCTTTTCCTTCTACAAGGGTCGCTGCCCAGGTTCCATAGCCCTAGACCCTAGCCCTTAAGCCCGCTATCAGGGAATTTCGTGCGTTCAGGCCGTTCTCGAGAGTCTGTCTCTGAACGCCGGAATGCCTACCTTGGGGAAATGAACCCGAAAAGGTTTAGGGTTTAGGGTTACAGGGTTATGTTCATATACTTGGATTGGAATTCCAATAGTTATTGGGTGTGTCACCCCGATTTTAGGGTGCATTTTGTCCCAAGGGACACCCTCAATTCCGTGCTTTCAGGCAAGGTTGTCCACAGCCCTCTGCCCAGGCGCCTATTGCGCTTGTTATTAGTCTACTCGTAAAGGAAAACGGGCGCACAAAAAGAAAAACACGGATCAAGAAACTACAGGAACAAAAGCGATAGCACGTGAAGATTATCGAGTCAGGCGTACCAAACCTGCAACCTTCCTGAGCGACACAACCAGCACAGCAGAACGGCAATGCTCAACAAACAACCTGAGCCTGAAGTCCGATACCCTAAACCCCAAACCCCAAACCCTAAAACCCCAAACCCTAAACCCCAAACCCTAAACCCGAAACCCCAAGAAAAGTTCGGGTTTGTTGAAGGCTTCGACCTGGCACCCTAAACCCTGCGGTTCACAGGCCATCGAACGTTGCGCAGCGGGGGTCCGTGGGCTCCGCCTGGTCCACGACGAAGCGGGAGCCGGACCCAGGCCCGGCCAGTTTTGCGGGTTTAGGGTTTAGGGTTTAGGGTTTAGGGTTTAGGGTTTAGGGTTTAGGGTTTAGGGTTTAGGGTTTAGGGTTTAGGGTTTAGGGTTTAGGGTTTAGGGTTTAGGGTTTAGGGTTTAGGGTTTAGGGTTTAGGGTTTAAGGTTTTAGGGTTAGGGTTTAGGTTTTAGGGTTTAGGGTTAGGTTTATGGTTAGGTTTCTAGGGTTTAGGGGGGGGGGGGGGGGGGGCTGGCAGCTTGTGGGGTCTGGGGCAGGGTTTAGGGTTTCGGGTTTGGGGTTGGGGGTTAGGGTTTAATAGTATTCCCTTCTGGTCGCTATTTAAGTATACTAGAATAAACCCCCCAAATCCACTTCCAATTATTCAGGCCTTTATGTTAAGGTCTTAGGGGCGTGCCAGGGTTTGCGGCTTCTCGGGGTGTAGGGGTTGAGGGTTGCGTGAGATTTTGTGGGATTCTCTGGGGTTTGGGATTTGTTTCTTGGTTGGCAAGCAGTATTCAGGGATCCCGTGCCGGGTATGAAGAACTGGCAGGAACATGATTGTCGGTAATGACTTCTCTGGGCAAAGTGAATATCTTGTTCAAATACGCGCAGTCCCACCTCATACGAACCCCTCCCCCCCCCACCCACCCCTGCCTCCAGAACGTTCATTGTCGCATATTCTCCGCACCGGGTGAATACTTAATGTCGGTGGGGTTGGAGCAGTTTGGCGTTGCCTGCGAACACGTTATACCTTATAATGCCCTAAGCCCCAAACTCCAAACCCTACACCCCTATGCAACAGAGCCTCCCAGGCTTCAACGTGCAGGACGGTTCGCTGGAGGAGTCGCTCATGATGCGGCTTCGCTGCAGCTCCGAAGGCTTTAAGCTACCCTGAGACCTTAAGATGCGATTGCCCAGTGGTACCCTTTTGCCCGTTCTTGGGTATTGAAATGTTGTGAATGCTAGCAGCCCAACGATTGAAGCCAACCCCCAAATAGGGCGCCGTTATTATAAGACTGTTTGTGGGCAGGAGTTTCAGGAAAAGGGCAGTGTTTGGGACTTAGGGTCTAGGGTTTGTGGTGTTTTGGGGTTTGTGGTGTTTTGGGGTTTCTGTTTTTTTTTTTTTTGAGGGGGGGGGGAGCTTCTGTGCTAGAGCGGACATATTCATGGGATTTCAGATTTCAGCGCCCTGAAGCAGACCTTCTTGGCTGCCGTGGGTAATCTCAAGACCCCAAACCAAAACCCTAAATCCCCCAAACAGGGGCGGGTCTGAACATAATTATCACTTTTAATACCTTAATCCCCGATACAATCCGTTAAAAAGCCATAAACATTTAATGTTTATAGCGGCCCCCCCAAATCTACCTAAGTCAACAAACCCCTAAAACCCCCGCTCCCTTCTCCCTGCAGGTTCAGCCTGAGGGGTTTAGGGTTTAGGGTTTGGGGAAAAAAACCCTAAACCCTAAACCCCAAACCCTAAACCCAAAGCCCTTTGACCATTCTTTGCACCCTAAAACGCAAACCTTAGGACCGGGAGTAGGCCCTTTTTCCCTCTTTTTTTAGGGTTGGGGTTCGCTTAGAACTTCTCTTAAAACCAACAAGGGTATCCCTTTTTATTCCTAGGTGACTCCCGAGGCTTAGCCCGATTCCCCTCGCACTAGCAGTCCTTAATCGGGATTCTCGTACCCCCCCCCCCCTGGTTATATTCTCCATGAAGAACTGTTAGCATGAAGGGGGAACTTTCCCAACATAAACCCCTCAACCCGAAACCCCAAACCCCCCCTAACCCCCCCCCCCCAACAAAAAGCCGAAGCTTCGAGCTTTTTGTTTCAGAAAGGCGGTTTAGGGTTTTAGGGTTTTAGGGTTTTAGGGTTTTAGAGTTTTTGGGTTTTAGGGCTTTAGGGTTTTAGGGTTTTAGGGTTTAGGGAACCCTCAGCCCTGAGACGGAAGCCCTCACCACCAGATCTCCTCGGAACCTTCGGCTGTGAAACTCCCAAATCCTAAGCCCTCAGACCCTAAACCCTAACCCCTAACAACCCTAAACCCTAAAGCCTGAAGCCTAAAGCCTAAAGCCTAAGCCCCTACAACTTAAGGTGCCAGCGCAATTCGGAGCTGTCCGACTGACGCCGGCGAGCCCTTTGCTGGGTTTCTTCGACCAGAGGCCTTCTCCATCGTGGGCAGGTTTTTTTTTTTTTTTTTTTTTTTTGTGTGGGGGGGGGGGTGTTAGATTTGAATTCAACCAAACTCCCTGGTTCTACTCAACCAAACTCCCTGGTTCTACTTCTCCTCGCCCCCTGGTCTACTCAACCCCAGGGTGCCCAACCACAGAGTGTTTCCCTGGAGTGCCCGAAAGTGCCCCCTCTGAGTGCCCAACTCAGAGTGTCCCAACCCCATGTCATCAGTGTATTGTCTTATATTATCTTGCAGTTTTATTTAGTATAAATTGCATATTGTTGTATATTATTGTATATTATTGTTCCCTGGAGTGCCCAACCCAGAGTGTCCCTGGACTGGAGCGCCCCAACCCCGAGGGCAGAGCGTCCAACCCAGAGTATCTCTACCCAGAAAAATTAGGGACGCTCGAAGCAAAATAATTGCAGTTTTATTGTTTAGGGGTTTATTGTAGGGCTGTTTAGTTGTGGTTTGGGGTTTCGGGTTTGGGGTTTGGGGAAGGGCTTTCGGGGCATTTGTCGCGATCATGTTCAGTATGTACAAAGAGGCGAAGACGCTGTAAATACCAGTGTTTTGTGCATGGACGCAATATGAATGACGTTCTTATCCCCACCCCGCCCCCCCCCCCCCCCCCCCCAATATGAATGACTTTCTTATTCCCCCCCCCCCCCCCCCCCCCCCCCCCAACCCTCCCCACCCCAACAAGACAACCAGAACAAATCACCAAAAAGTGCCAAAACTAACGTTTTACCCAGGGCCGCTAACAACGGCGTGAGCTTAAACTAGGACCCGGAGTAGGGCCTTATTTCCTTTTTTAAAATTGGGGGTTGCCTTATAATCCCCTTAAAGTCAAAAAGGGTACCCTTGTTATTCCTAGGCTACTCCTGGGTCTAGTTAACAAAATCTCAAACTCTCAACAGCCCGTGCCTCGAAACTCAAAACCCTAAACCCCCAATCCCTAAACCCCAAACCCCAGCCCCCTAAAGCCCGAAACCCCAAACCCTAAACCCCCAACACCCGAAGCCCTAAAACCTAAAACCCTAAACCCCAAGATTGAACCGCCGCAGTGGACAGGTTGCGGAGCGCCGCCAAACTCAGGGAATGTAGCACGCAAGGCACAGAGTTTAGGGTTCAGGGTTCAGGGTTTAGGGTTCAGGGTTTAGGATGTTAGGGATTGGGTTTCGTAGGGCGTATGCTTCGTAGGCTTTAGGATTTAGGGTTTTCAGTTTCGGGTCAGCATGCAGGCTGTCAAGATGGCTCAACATGTGTACATAGCTGGTACGTTCCCTGAGCGATCGATCCTTTGAGGAGATGGGGCGAATACCAGGTCAACGCCGCCTGCCCCCTCCTTTTGTTCCCGAATGGCGTGGGGTTGACCTAAGTTGTGAGAAACCCTAAACCCAACCCCCTCAACCCGAACGTCATTCGCCCAAATGTAATTTCACTTCTAACCCACTTCTCTAAGCACCAAGTTCTCAGGGGTTTGGGCTTTGGGCTTAGAGTTTAGGGTGGCTCCGGATCCTAACCACTCCTCCCCGGCCTTCGATACACCCTTAAACCCCTGAACTTAAACCTGTAAACCCCTCCTTGACCTCACGATCATGAGGGTTTAGGGTTTAGGGCTTATAGGGGCTACACGGCTTAGGGTAGCCACAAAGCCACAAAGCCTACGAAGGAGGGCTTGGGACTGGGTGCTTTGGTTTTGCGTTTTGAGTTACAGGCTTTGGGGCTTGGGTTCCCAGAATACACCCTATGCCCGAAAGCCCTGCCTGTGCCCCCCCCCCCCGCCCCACCCCCCGATGAACCCTTGCGTCCATTAAAGCTTTTTTTGAAACAGCCAGGTAGTAAGCGACCACCTCAGGGCCTTGTAAATTTCGCTTTCATCAGCCCTGAGCCCTGAACCCCCTAAGCTGAAACCCGAAGCCCCTCGACCCGACGACCCTCGAAGCCCTACAACACTATACAACTCCACAAGAACCCTGCAACCCCTCTTTTCGAGACAGCCGCACCCCTTCGCAGACCCTAAACCCTAATCCCTAAACCGAACCCCCACCCTCCCCCCCCTCCATTTGAGAAGACAGCCCCTTTGAACCAGCCGCGCTTAAAGCGCGCGCGGAAGCAAGGGCTGAAGAGAAAAGTTGGTGGCAACTGCAGTCAGAAGTCGGGTTTAGGATTTAGGGTTTAGGGTTTAGGGTTTAGGGTTTAGGGTTTAGGGTTTAGGGTTTAGGGTATATCCTTGCACATACAGGACTTCTACATATCTACTATAGGAAGAAGTAGCTTCGAATAGGTTACACGATCCAAATGCCGGCACCTGCTGGCTCGGATGATCGCATTAGGGACTAGAGGATTCAGGGAGTTTAGGGTTTAGGGTTTAGGGTTTAGGGTTTAGGGTGTAGGGAGTTTAGGGTTTAGGGTGTAGGGAGTTTAGGGTTTAGGGTGTGGGGTTCCCCAAAACCCTGTGCCCCCCCCCCCCCCCCCCCCCAAGGCTTGCGTCTGAGCACCTCAAAACCAAAAAACACGTAAAGGTTTAGGGTTTAGGGTTTAGGGGTTCAGGGGTTTAGGGTTTAGGGTGTAGGGAGTTTAGGGTTTAGGGTGTCAAAAATGGCCGGGATCCTTTGAGAACCCCGAGCCCTATCGAAGAACTCTAGAGACCTAAGACCTAAGGCCCCCAAGCTGCATTTTTCTCGGGGCGGGCGGTATCCTTTTCCAGCTCCCCGAAGCCTAAATCCTAGACCCTATTTCAATCCAAAAAACGGAGCAAACCAATAAGCAAAGTGAAGCCCTGACACGGAAGGGCCCCAGCAGCCTAAGCTGCTGAATAGGTCGCTTTCCGCCTTTGTGTGCTTGTTTTTTGTTGTTTTGATATATTTTTTCGGTGTGTGTCAACATACCAAAGGTAAGCCTCCCTCCCCAAAATATACAGCACTCAGAAAGAGCCTCCTCAGCCCATGACCCCGAAAACACTAAAGCGCTCTTTCAGCCACGGCGGTTTAGGGTTGAGGGTGTAGGGTTCTAAGCCATCCCGAACACCCCCTGCAGCTCCCAAGCCGCCCGAATAGGTTTAGGGTTTAGGGTTAAGGGTTTTCCGGGGCCCCTTAACCCCTAAAGCCACAAACGCAGCCCCTGAACGATGTACCCCCAACCCTAAACCCTTAAACCCTGCATACTTTCAGCTTGGGGGCGTCAGGGCAGGGTTGAGCATGGGATCCTGATCCCCAAGCCCTTCAAACCCTCAACCTTAAAAACCTCAACCTTAAAAACCCTAAACCTTCAACCCTAAACCCCTTAAACCCTAAACCCTAAACCCCTGAACCCCTAAACCCCCAAACCCCAAACCCCAAACCTTCACTGAAGGTTTTAAAGGGGTCCTGCTGAGGCTCGACTGCTGGAGATCGAGCCCACGCGCCTGCAGGCGCGAAACTACATGGGGGTTTAGGGTTTAGGGTTTAGGGTTTAGGGTTTAGGGTTTAGGGTTTAGGTTTAGGGTTTAGGGTTTAGGATTTAGGGTTTAGGGTTTAGGGTTTAGGGTTTAGGCCTTATAGGGTTTAGGACTTAGGACTTAGGTTCAAAATTGCGCTGGGGCTTACGGTTTATAGGAGGACGGACCTAGGGTTTAGGCTGTAGGGTTTAGGGATTAGGGATTAGGGTAGGACTTGGGGCTTAGGGTTTAGGATTAGGGCTTATAGGACTGAGGGTTTAGAGTGGGGCTCAGTGTCAAAA